CTTACTTCTTCATTTGTTAATAATATTGCAGAAGTTTGTGTTTAAATAATTGTTTGAGAATGATTTTCTATATACTTTTCTATAGACTACTGTTGGGAAATTACTCACTCGTTTAATTGTAATTATTAGTTTATTATCATTTCAATTAGAAAATCCTGTCATTCGATTATTAATACTTGCATTCGGAACTTGTGCAGCAATGATTGATCTTTGTACAAGTCTTAATTCTCGATATCATTCATATAGGTGAATAATTTATTTAGATTGAACAAAAAAACTTTTTTTTTTACAAATATTTAGATCAATTGTTGTTTGGACATTAACAATCAGTTTATTTTTCTTTCTCAGTCTTCGTGTTTGTTTTTCAAGTATTATGCCAGCTTGGTCAGGTTTTATTGCAAATTTAGTACATGTTCTCATTGGATTTGTAGTAATTTTTGATCAATTTGGACGAGGTAAGGAAATAAAATTATAAGTTTGTCCTAAAGGCATTGATCATTTCCCTAAGGAAATGTTTGAAAATGAACTAATCAGTTAAGACGAAGGAGATCGGTTGACAGAGCATATAATCAACGGTGTCTATCATTCTCTTTCAGAGATTATTGTTGATATGAAAAATAACGCTGGGAACAAAGATGCCAGACATTCCGGAATCTTTCCGGTTTCCGGGTTTTTCCGGATTTCAGCTATTTTCGTCCCTAAAATTTCGACTGTCTTTCTTTTATTACAGATAGTAAAATAAATGATAGTTTGTAGTACTCGATTAAACAAGAAAAAAAAGGAAAGAAGGAGGAGGAGAGTTCCGGTCCAAATTGACAACTGAATTTGTGAAGATATACCAATGTACTGATATTTTTATATAGATAATACCATGTGGCAATTACTTCCACCATTATCGTTAACTTCAATTACATCAATGTCTACATATGGTATACTATTTTATTACTTTAATTCGATTACCTTTTTTATTCTTTCGATTATTAGGAAGTAATTCATTACGTTCATCATCACGTGATAATAATGTACAACCACATTGGTTATTACTTGGTATTGGATTTGGCAGTTTGTTATTTAATCTTCAATGGGTATTTGGTGATTTATCGGTAATTAGTCGTTGGGCATCGAATGGTTTTCCTGATCAAGCACCTGAACCAATTCCTTACGGGTAAATCAGACAAAATTTTATATAATAAAAATAAAGTTATTTCGTTTCGTAGATTACTCGTTTGGATTTGTTTATTTTGTGGTGTCGTAACTATCAATCGTCTTAGTATAGTAACTAATCGATGGTGGGCATCTATAGGATTTATTGGTTATGGTATATTATATTTCAATCGTGGAAATGCTTCATTTATTGGTAAATAAAAACATTTTTAATTGATTTATTTAAGATATTTTATTTCTATTTTATTGAAAAGGTGGTCTTGCATTAAGTTTATTTATTGGATCAGTTATTCCATTAATATTTGATAAAATTGCTCGTGGTCTTCAAGCTCGTATTGTTGTAACTGCTGCATTCGTGTATATTATTCAAGTTGTGTATGCTGTTTGGACAAGTGCCTATAATTTTGTTCCATTTGGTGGAACATTAACACGTGAAACATCTCATGTTTTGGTATTCTTTAATTTTCTCGGTATTTACTTTGGTGTTTATACAGCTAGTAAGATACTTCTATTTACTAGAATCTTTATTTTAAAGAATAATACTGTTTTTTAGAACCAAATTTAGGAACATATATACGTGGTCGCGTTTCATCCATAAGTTTACCAAGTCGTCATATATGGACATGTAAGAATATGAAAAAATTGATTCTTATGAAGTCAAAAAAACAAGTTTCTATAATTTAGTATTTGGTATTGCTTTCATGATTGCTTGTGTTGGTACATTTTCACGTTTTCTTGCTTTGCCATCAAAAGCATTACGACAAGCCGAAGATGTTTGTATTATTTTTCTTTTTTCTGAAAACTTTATTTGTTTGCCTATTAATTAGCCAACACATATTTCTGCTGCTATTTGGACAGTTCATTTTGGTTATGATAATAATGCACATCCAAGTCTTGATCGTGTTGCAGCTGCTCTTGCTGATACTAGTTAGTACAAAGTCTATGATTGTATTTTTTTGTATGTAATTTAAATGTTTAGATGCTGATGTGATTGGTCTTCTGGAAACTGATACAGCTAAACCATTCTTTGGAAATACGGATTTGACATCATATTTAGGAGAAAAACTACATATGTTTACAGATTTTGGTCCTTCATCAAAAGATCATACTTGGGGGTATAATTGATTTATATCAATACTAAAACAATAAATCTGTATTATTTAGATGTATTATTCTTTCAAAATATCCAATTGTTCGGTCTGTACACTATTTATTACCATCACCCGAAGGTAACTATTTGTAAACAATAACTAAATAAATAACTATATGAATGAAATTAGGTGAACTTGCACCAGCTATTCTTGCAACAGTTCAAACAGCAAGCAAATTAATTGATGTACTTATTGTTCATATGGGTAATGATCGAGATGATTTAGATAGAAAATTACAAGCAGCAAAATTACGAGATATTATGCAAAATAGGTTTGTTTGTTTTTTTTTATAAAAATTAAAATAAAATGTTTGTTTTTGTTAATAGTACTAATCCATTAGTATTTCTTGGTTATGTTACGTCTGCACCATTTAGTCGAGATTATCAAATGTTAACTTCAGTTGCAAATGATATCGATTCAACCGATAGAGATCGTTGGTGTGAATATATTTTATATAAAAATTTAATTCGGTAATAATCAATTTTATTTAATTTATGAATATTAAATGGGGGAATTTTTTTAGTGTTGGTTATGCACGAATTACACATGCTGGTTTAACAGATACAGAAATTCAAATGGCAAAATTTAAAATACCAACCAATAAAAAATATACTGATAATCCAACTGTTGTTACTGACCCATCGGTTGTTAAAGATCAATCACTTCTTTTTAATTCAAAGTAATTTTATTTCTAAATTTTTCAATATTTCATTTTTATTCTTAAAAGATTCGGATCATTCTACAGAGGTCATGGACGTTTTAATACTCATCGTTTTCATATGGATACACCCGTATGTTGATTTCTTGTTTACTAAATTTTACTATTTGATAATTTTTAGAAATATTTTCTACCAAAAGAAAATCAATCAAATTAATTTACTGAACAAATGACTGTGATTAACTTTTTTTTTCTATTCCTGCGTTATTTATTTCTTTCGACAATAAAACACATCTCGCTTTTTTCATATATATTATTCTTGCGAATCGGATTGTTAGTATATAATAATAACAAATGATCAATGAAATGACTGTTGTTAATAGATAAATCGTAGATTTCTTACGAAGAACGTGGAAGTAATAGTTTACAAATAACTTGATCATTCATACATCTGATTAAAGAGAAAAATGAAATAAATTAATAAATTAATATGAAAAATCAAACCCAGTAACAAATTCTTCTTTATTTAATTTTTTATCACCACTAATATCTAATTTAGCAATAATTTCTTTGGCACGTTTTTTGGGATCCCATTCACCTTTTTGATCTCTTATACCAGCACGTTCATACTATAACATAAAATATAAACTAATTTGTTTGAGTAAAATAAATATTATTACCATAGCTGATAATAAATTAGTTAATTCTTTTCGATCGATTTGTCCATCTTCTGAGTCATCCCATCTGAATTAAAATTAAAATCATAATTAAATAAATTAATCATAGGAAATATACTAACAAATCAAATACAAACGCAAGTCGTTTTTCTAAACTACCTAATTGATTTCGAATAGCGATTAATACAAGAAATTCATTAAAATCAATTGTGCCATCATCATTAACATCAATTCGATCAAATAATTCTCTAAATAATATGTATAAAATAATAAAAAATTTGTAATTATAGTTTTACGCTGTTTTTTCTTCATCATGTGGATGTATTTTTGTATAATAATCAACAAATGCCTTTTTATCTAATTGACCTGATGGATATTCACGAAGAAAATCCTGCAAGAACTAATCGATTATTTCCAAATAGATATAATAAATATAATTTACCGTGTGCCATTGTTGTATTTCTATATATTAAATAAAAGAATTAAATTTAGAAAAATAATTTTTTTTACCTTCTTGTGTAAACTGAGCATTTACTGAAAGTAAATCACATTCTAAAATCAATGATGAAACATATATTTCTTTACGTGAAAAAATTTTACCTTTTGGAGTCAAATCCATACTTGTTCGATTTTTTTTAGGCATTATTTTGTTCGTTAATAAAAAAAAAGAACACTTGTCGTTAAATAATAAGTATCACTAAAAATTTTCAAGAGTAAAGTGTATAGAGAAATCACGGAAAGAAAGAAAGAAAAAATTTATAAATCATTGTTATATATACTTAAGCATTAAATATTAAAAGAATGAAAGAAAAAAAAAGAAAACTAAGATCAATAAAATTTATGTGTGTAGAATAGA